ACAAAAGCTTTGTAGCATAAAGAATGATATTTCGCTTCACTACTTATCAAATCCTTGGCGCAAATACCAGAAATATTTGCAGCAATGGCACTCATATTAGTGTGTCTACTAATGTGCAACGACGCGCTTTTTCTAACCGTTTCATCTGCTCTAAATTCTTGGACGCCGTGCAATTTCTCTCGTGTTTTTGTTCCCGGTTTGTATTTTGGTTTCTTACAAAATATGCACGTCTGGGGAAGCACTGCGGAATTGATGGCCGATCTATCCACATCGCGACTACCCCTTCTAAGTTGGGGCTGGTCTTGTCCTGTTTTGCTACTCTCTTCTACAAGTAACATGATACTTAACAGGTGATCGAGGGAAATCGTGTTTACCATCCGACAATTTTAGAATTGGCGTGAATTGCCTAATTTCTGCAGCACAATACAATCTCGCCCAAGACTCTGCATCTTTACACTGTGCCAAATTCTCATCACTCTCGCTACTGCAAATTACACAATTCTCCATTTTGAAATTTTCTGATCAAGTAGAATTAACGCACCAACTACAACATGAACTCAAAGCCTGTTCGTACAACAGTTCCAGACTGAATGTTTGATAAACAAACAAGCATTTGAAAAGTTTTCGCATTTTATTCTACAAGACTAGAATGACGTAACTATAGAATTACTATAACACAATAACTTTAATTTCTTAAGTTTTTATTGCTGCCGAAGGCAGCACACTAGTCTTGACAATTTGGTTTCTCCAGAGTCCTCGACCCAGTCTTTCGCGCGAGTTATGTATTGTCGAGATCTCGATCTTGTGTCTGTCTGTTTGTTTGTATGTAAAGATGTCGTAATCCGGGGGGAATAATTAAGCTTCAGGAATGTTTGATAAATGAGGGGAGCGGTCAAAACAAGATTTTGTATTGCGCACGCATCTCCATGTGCTCAAGAATCGAGATTTTACAATTGGTTTTATACGGATGCAAGTTTATATAAAAAATATTCGGGAAAATTCAGGTAAGTAAGGCTCTATTTTTTTCTTCTGAAATACATCAAGGCGATGACCTTTTTAGTGTCCAATCTAGAGGCAAACAATGTGCTTTTATGAGTCTATCTGCAGTATTAACTGCTCAAAATATCCCACTGATCGATTGGTCAAAAACAACATTGAATAATGTCTTATTACAAGGAGACAAAATGTACTTGCAAGCTCTGGATAATGGCTTTGTTGTCTTAGAACCTGGTGTCGAATTCTTATCTGTAGATAACTTACCTAAAGTTGTTAGTATTAATACAAGTTCTACGAACATGTTTTCTTACGAGATATGTGATTCTCTGATCGACACAAGTATTAATATACTACCTGTAGATCATGCGAAAACAACTACAACACCTGTGGATCCCTTTGATGCAGAAAATAACGTTAAATTACTTATGGTGGTAGGACAAAACAGTAAAAGTGTACCCATGGTGGTACAACAAAATAATAACCGTCTACCTGTGATGGTACGACAACATATTAATAACAGTCCACCCGTGGTGGTAGGACAAAACAGTAACAGTCTACCCGTGGTGGTACGACAAAATAATAACAGTCCACCCGTGGTGGTACGACAAAACATTAACAGTCTACCCGTGGTGGTACGACAAAATAATAACAGTCTACCCATTGTGGTAGAGCCCGTTGAGGCACAAAATAACATTGATCTGCCCATTGTGGTAGAGCCTGTTGAGGCACAAAATAACATGGAACTACCCATTGTGGTAGAGCCTGTTGAAGCAGAAAGTATCACTTATATGCCTATTGTGGTAGAGCCTGTTGAGGCAGAAAGTATCACTCATATGCCCAATGTGGCAAAAAGTAACACTGATCTATCCATTGAGGTAGAGCACAATTCTGTGGCGCCTAAAGAGGCAAACAACGAAAACCAAATTTGGTTTATAAATTATGGAAACGAGCTTCAAGGTCTTGTTATAACCAACCGAAAAATTGAGTCGCACTACTATGACATTCACACAGCACTTTTGAATGTCTTTTCAAATTATAGTTATACTATTTTAATATTAGAAGGCTATATGATGGCCTTGATGAAGCAAGCAGATTTTTTCTATTTATTTGACTCACATGCCAGAGACTATAGTGGCATGCCTGATCCTAATGGCACTGCTGTTGTCATGAAATTTGTTAATATTCTAGATTTAGAACAATATTTGTATTCTCTTTCAATGACATTACATGCCAATTTATTTGAAATTGTACCTGTGCAATTAAGTATATGTAAAGCTTCTGAGCAAAAAAGTAAGTGTGTAAAGGATCGAGAGAATGTCCAAAAAAATAGGCTTTTAGTAAAAAATGAAGGTGATAAACATGCTAGACTCAAGAAAGCTAGTGAGTATAAAAAAAGAAAGCAGTCAGAGGAAACTGACAGTCAGCAAAAAATAAGACTTAAAAAATTATGTGAGTCTATTAAACAGAAACGTTCAGAGGAAACTGACATTGAGCGGCAAATTAGACTTCAAAAATTAAGAGAGTCCATTAAACAGAAACGGTCAGAGGAAACCGACAGTGAAAAACAAATTAGACTTCAAAAGGATTGTGAGTCTAAAAAAAGAAAGCGGTCAGAGGAAAGTGACACCAACAGACAAATAAGGCTTGAGAAAGATAGACTTAATACAAAACAAAAGCGGGCAAACAAAGTGTCACAGCCTCAACATGAAATACTAAATCAACAGGATTATTTAAATATGTTTGACAACACAAATAATGGTGGTATTGAAGAGCAATGTTGGGCTAAGGCTAACATTAATAAGTTTAATAAGTCTGTGCAATACAGTGTCAGTCAGTGTACAGTATGTCAGGAGGCATGGCCCTTAAAATCCAAACCAAGGACACTACCTTATGTGTGTTCACGATGCTTTAGAGATAAGAAATCTCCAAAAAAATTTTCTTGCGAAAATTCAATGATACCTTCATGTGTTCCGCATGAATTGCAGAATTTAACTCAGATTGAGGAAATGTTAATTGCTCGTGCTTTGCCTATCATGAGAGTTTATATTAAACCTGGTGGTCAACGAGGTTATTCAGGACATTGTATTAACCTGCCACAAAATGTCGAAGAACTTGCAATGTCTTTGCCAAGATATCCTAAAGACTTGGCTGTGATTATTGTCAAGGCTAAAGGTAGAGAAAACACGTTCAGAGATGTGACAGTGCGAAAGCAAAAAGTGCACAATGCTTTAGTTTGGCTTATCAA